GGCTCCTTTATATATATATATACATATCAAAGAATGACATTAATATTCTAGCTTAATAAGAAGTGATAGATTGCATAAATATGAAATAATAAATTGCATGTCATAAAATTTTATGTAACAACTTACACAAGTAAAAATATAATGTAAATATCAATTGATCAGGTCATCAAAAAAATATAAATTGTGAAATTAAAGTAATATAAAATATCAAAATACGACAAAGATGAGTTCGCTTATATTGTCCATAAATCTAAAAAAGAATATAATAGATAATCAAAAGCTAGAGCAATAAGCCGTGGTGGCAGCAGGAAGTTGGTGGTGGTGACGACAATAGGAGCAACTGGACGGTGGTGACGACAATAGGAGCAATGTGACTGTAGCAAGCACCTATGGCAGAAGAAGCAACCGGCTACTATAGCAAAAGCAAAAAACAAAAATGATAACATCGACCGTGGTGGCGACTCTGATGGTGGCAGCGACACTGGAAAACTTGATTTAGGAGAGGGAACCTATTGTGTGTGATTGTGCAACTTTGATTCATATTAGAATTGTCTTATAAAAGAGAAAAAACCTAACCGCGAGAGACACATGACTCAGAGGAATTGAGGTGAGGGTGCGCCTCAACTAGTGCGTGCCTCGCCCTCAAAGAAATTTTTTTTATTTTTTTTGAGATTGTGCTAATGTGGGGCCTCAAGGCGCACCTTAAATTGCACAATTTTAAACAATGCTCTCATCCATTGAGATATTGCTTGCTTTGGCATTAGCGTTCTCACGGTTTTTTCCCATTGATGTAGCCAGATGTAACTTCCTAGTTGTTCACCCACCACATGAGTGCTCTTACAAGAGCATGCTTAATTTCGGAGTTTCTAATAAATTTTCAGTAGTTATATGAAAAGGTGCCTCATTTACTTAAAAGGAGTTTCACATTCAGAATCTTCAGTTATTCATATGCCATATCCACAGGCATTAGAAGGCTCACCTCATATAAAGCTGCCTGTCCATAAGCTTCAATAACACCAGTGTAAGCCTTGGTACTGGGCACAACTTTCTTGCTGTTCATATGTGACAGAATAACTTTGGCATCTTCATGGAGGCCGCCATTACCACAAGCTAGAATGAGGTTTTCATAAGTTTCCATATTTGGTTCCACCTTCTCCTCCAACATGTCATGGAACAAAGTAATCACCTCCCTGAAGTAACCTCCTTCTCCGAAAACCTGAATGAGAATATTGTAGGTGGAGGCATCAGGCTCAGTATTTCCAACCTTCATCTCCAGGAAAAGATCCCGCACATTTTCGTACCGGCCATAACGACCGTAAAGATTCAGCAGGTTGCTGTACGTGGCAGCAGTAGGCAGCTTGCATTTGCCGCAGCACAGCCATGGCGTCCTTCATCTCACCTTCATGTGCATGAGCCTCCATCAGCACGTTATACGCTGCAGCATCAGGAAGATGGCCGCCAGATTCCATCTCAGCAAGAAGCTCAGAAACCCGCCCAAGCCGGCCAAGCTTCCCGAATGAATCAACGAGGTGCGCGTGTGTGGAATTGTCAGGGGTGACACCTGCGTCAAGCATAGTCCTCAGAACCATCTCCACCTGCTCGGCGAGGCTTCTTGCCCCTGCTGCGGCAATCAAAGTGTTATAAGTCACGATGTCGGGATGGATCCCGTCGTGCCGCATTTCAGCGAAGAGGCTGAGAAGGGCATCCCATGGTAGATTCGCCCTAGAGCAGGCATGGAGGACGGTGTTGTAAGTGAGGACGGAGGGGGAAACACGCTCAGCCTTCATCTGCGAAAGGAGTTGAAGGGCAGGCTCATGGCGTCCATTGCGGGCGTAGGCGTTAATTATAGCGGTATAGGAGAGCACACTCCGGGGAACGGAATTGGCTGGCATTTCGTCGAACACCTCGCGGGCTTTATCGAGGAGTGATTCACGGCCGAGAACGCCGATAAGGATAGCGTGGATATGCTCATCGGGACGACACCAGAGCTGGCGCTGCATGTACTTGAAGAGGCGAAGGGAACGCTGCCAGTCGCCGCGGCGGGCGAACTCGCGGAACACGAGGGCGAAATCGGAGAGGGAGACGCGGCCGCGGAATGTCTCGAGGCACCGGGCAATGCTTCCGCGAGGGGGGAGACTACTGAGCTTATTTATTAGGGTTTCCACCTCGTAGCTGTACTTGCCCTTCTCGACCTGCGCCGATGAGTTTGAGAGCACAAGCTCCTTCGGCTTCGTTCTGCTCACCGGCGATGGGGCCGGTGTAGACGTGAATAGGGCTGATGAAGGAAGAAGACATGGACGGCGGGAGAGTGATAGCTGCTCGGAGAAGAAGGGATTGCGGAGGCTTCGGGGAGAGAAGGGAGGAGAGGTGGAGTGGGGAGGTAGGGAGGTCTGGAAGAAGAGAGACATGGGTGATGGAGAATGGGTTAGTGGAGTAGGAGTTGATGATGGAGATGACTTCTCGGCTCGGAGAATAGCAAAAACGCCGGCGAAAACATTTCTGGCGGCGTTTCGCCGTCGTTGATAACGAACGATAAACGGCTCCTTTTTTATAGGGACATCTGCATAAATACCGGTTAATTCATATATATTTACATATCTAGCACCTAAATAATTCAAAGACCACAATTTTTGTAATATATAAATATTTAGTTTTAGATCATTTGAGAAATACAATAAACTCAAATATTTAACATTACATAAAAGATATATTCATCACTATTTTCTTAAAAATAATATATCTATATTTATGTATAAGTTCCATGACATCAAAGTGGTATAGATTATAATTTCAAATATTAACTGAAAATATATAAATACATAAAAATTTGGTGGTATGCATATGAAATTTACTTTTTAATTTAAAAAATATGAATTAAAATTTTATTTTGAATTTTAATATTTGATTGAGAATTTGAAAAATATATTTAAAACAACGCTAGATTTGTAAATAGAAATTGTACTGCTTATGTAGTTGCCCATAATTTTCTAAGAACGAAAAGAAAGATTTACATACATTGTATATATGTATGTTTAAATACGCAAGAAGCCTGAACCTTGACATTGTATATATGTATGTTTAAATACGCAAGAAGCTGTGTGTATATAAATACCCCTAATAAGATACAGACATTCCCGCTATACTGCTTTCCAAAATGAAACAAACCCTAGACCAGAAATCCCCCCCGGCTGAAGTTCCACTGTTGCAATCAAATACCAGTATCCTCGCGCATCACTTCATCCTCGTCGTGGATATCTACGTCCCTAGTAATGGTGGAGATTTAAAAAGGGAAGTGTAAGCACTTTTATCTTCATAAAATCTGTATCTCTGTAATTTAATTTATCGATTTTTGTGTTTTCAATAAAATGCGATTCGAATTCTTGAATTAGTTCATGCCCTAGATATATATTACATATTTTATCGTGTTAGACATGAACATTGGTTGCCCTTGATCTGATTCAATAGGTGTTCAAAGCATAATTTATTAAATGTTCTAAGTTTCTTTTTGCCTGCGTTGTCAAGATTTGCCGTTTAAATTCATTTTCATATGTATATTTTTTCAAGTTATATTGATTTTTCTTCCATATCATCTCTGAAGTTTTTCTCTCATTTTTCTGATTATTATACTTGATGCGTGCTAGAAAATTCGTGATGGTAGAGTAATGGATTATCGTCTTAGCATTGTACGAGGATTCAACACACACTCAGATGAAAATGAATCAAACTGTGATAACATTAGAAGTTTTTACGTGGAAAACCCGTAAAGAGAAAAAACCACGAGGCCTGGCCCAGTTGTAAAAATTTACTATAAGTTGATGATTACAGATGCCTCTTGTCTCACAGGCGCGAAAGTGTTACTAGCTTTCCAAGTTACAACGTCGATTGACGACGTCTAGTCAGCGGTGGTTGACGAAGGTTGGCGGTGATTGACGGTAGTTGACGATAATCGATGACGGTCGACGGTGGTCAGCGGTGGATGACGACAGTCGATGACGAGGATGATATTGGCTTGAATTTCTTCTTAAAGCTTCAAGTTCTCTCTTAAGCCTCTATTTATAGTGTTTTGAGTGCAATTAATGCAGAAATATGAAACATTTTGATCGGACAGTCCGACATTTTGATTGGACTGTCTGAAGAGCTTCCCTTAATGAGTCGACGTTTGATGGACATTTGAGTGCCTTAACAATTCAGAATTGAGCAATCTTGGGCTCATTGGATTCGTCTTGTCGAGACGCTCGATTCGACTATGAACTCGTTAGATTCGATATTCGTTTGACCTTTCAAATGCCTTCGAAAAACCTCCAAGAGTGGTTTGATGATTTGATCCGGGCTTGATTTGACTCGGATTGGATTGACTTTCATATCATAAGGTTCGTCTCTTCGAGCTGATTAGTTTGACTATAAGTTTGCTAAAATCGGAATTCCGGATGACTCATAATCGAAGTTTGAATGTTTCTTTTTCAAAAAATTCATCAAAATTCGTGTCATGCATTAGATTCGTGTCGGATGATGAAAATTTATTGGCTGTGTATCAATACTAATTACAATATTCCATTTTTTTTCTTTATAATTGTACAGGTTAAAAATAAAGAATGGTTATCTAAAAACATACGTTGAGCTCAATATTTGTTGATAAGATATTAGCTTTTAATTATTGTTCTATGTGTCCAAAAGAATATAAGGGTTTCAGATATGTTTAAGAACCGGCATGAATGATGAAATCTCACTCTCTTTGAATGAGGAAGTTTGGTGATTCCCCTATTTTTTTCAGAAAGAGAGTTAGAGTAAGTATTTAACTACGGAGTAAGCAAAAACAAAGAAAAATCTCAGTAAAGATACTTTATGAATGAAAAAGTTAAAAAACGATTGAAGTAAATGAATTATTAGCTTTTTGTGATCTTTAGATTTGAACATCCAGATGCATCATAACTGTTACTATTAGCAACATGTGCTCCTCTTCTTATCAGTCAACACATGGAGCAGTCACTTGAACTGCAAATTCTTTACGAACATTGGATGGCAACAAATAGCTTCAATCAAGACTGTCCAAATCAAAAATTCGCGACGGTAGAGTAATGAATTATCGTCTTAGCATTATACAAGGATTCAACACACACTCAGATGAAAATGAATCAAGCTGTGATAACATCAGAAGTTTTTACGTGGAAAACTCGTAAAGGGGAAAAACCACGGGGCCTGATCCAGTTGTAAAAATCCACTATAATTTGATGATTACAGATGTCTCTTGTCCCAACTTTCCAAGTTACAACGTCGATTGAATACGTCTAGTCAGCGGTGGTTGACGGAGGTTGGCGGTAGACGTCTAGTCAGCGGTGGCTGACGGAGGTTGGCGGTGATCGACGGTAGTTGACGATAATCGATGACGGTCGACGGTGGTCAGCGGTGGATGACGACAGTCGATGACGAGGATGATATTGACTTGAATTTCTTCTCAAAGCCTCAAGTTCTCTCTTAAGCCTCTATTTATAGTGTTTTGAGTGCAATTAATGCTGAAATATGAACCATTTTGATTAGACGGTTCGAAGAGTTTCCCTTGAACATGCAGCACATCACAAGGAAGTTCAATAGTCTAATTGTAAATTACTTGTTGCTTATCGTCTTCTTTTCATTCTTTGTTTTGTAGGTTCTTTTTTTATTTGGATGCAAACTAGAAATAGAGCTTGCTGTTCTGGACTTTAGTTTCAATATGGTACCAGAGCAGTTTCAATGAAATTTCCAGCCACCCAGTGGTATCTATGTCTTGGACTTCCTAATGAGCAACACTCTCTTAGTTATTTTTAAACAAAAAAAACATCTATGTATTCCTTTAAATGCTTCTTTTTTGTACTTCTTTTAAGGCTGCTAAAATCCATTGTTTATCTCTTAATCCCTTATCTAATTATACATACAAGCCTCTTGAGTTGATCCATTTGAGGGCTTCCCTATTTCATTAGTACAAGGGAAAATAGATATTTTAAGTGATTAACAAGTTTGATGCTACTACCCACTTTATCAAAGTTCAAAGAACTTGTTGAAAATTAACTTACTACTTAAATCAAAATATTCAAATATGTTGGCAATTATACTTTACAATAATATCTTACTTTCATGATATTATTCATCAAATATCTTGCCTTTACACTTCAATATAGAATAGAGTAGCCGAACATAAACTTCATCATATCTTGGATGCCTCTTGCTCTCGCTTGATTACAGCTTCCATCCCCTCTCGCATATGTACAGACAAACACAATTCTCACATATGTATATCTCACCAATAGGATAACATCCTACACTACCTACTATTCGCATTTTACTTAAAGTTGCCCTCCACTATAAATTGGGGATTATATAATTTGATACATCCAACACTTTCCTTCATGGCATTTTTTAATAGAAAGTCTCTATGTGACTACCACAAGGCTACAAGCTTCACAATATCTGTTTACTCAAAAAGACAAATTTATACTGAAAAGAAAAAAAAAACTCTTGATAATGGTTCTAGGTACTCCTTTCAATTCCATCAATTAGGATTTCAATTTAGCCAAGTCGATTCATTCTTATTGCACTATCAAGTCAACGATATTCAAATTAATATTTTAACGTACATTGACGCTATTTTAATAATGGGCAAACCATCAACAAACTATCACTCAACCGTTTCATTGTTTATAACAACAATTTAGAATAAAATTTTATATTTCCTTGGAATCCAATTGCTAAAACACCTCAGAAGTTTTTTACTTTTTCAATAGAAATATGCATTAGACGTTCTCTAGGAAGCTGGAATGATAGATTGCAGAACCATTACAAGACATTTACCTTCTAAAACAATTTCTCAAACCAAACTCACCTAATTATTTGAATATCCAACTCTCTACTGCAACCTCAATAAATCCCTTCAATTCCTTACCATCACACATCATGATGTAGCATTTGCTATCACTCAACTATCTCAATGTATGCATGAGCGGCTTAGTACCCAACATCGTTTATTAATTCTAGATTTTAAGATGAAGAGTTGTAAAATAAAGAATACTATGACTCATCATTGTAGAATTAGATGAGAGAACCTAAAATACACAAATAAAATTATTTTAATGAGTAAAATTCAAGATTTCAAAATTTGGATGTTCATGAAGAAGCAAAATGCTATGTGGGATAAAGTAACAAACACTATTAAAAAAGTAACAAAAGTTGTACTTGGAGAATCAAAAGAAAAAGTTTGTATAAATAAGAATAGTTGGTAGTGAAATAATAATGTGCAAGAAAAGATAAATTATAAAAAGTTATGTTATAAAAATTGGTTTAAATGTAAAAGCTTTGAGAACTGAGAAAAATATCAAACGACCCGTAGGTAGTCTAAAAGAACAATCTATGACGCTAACAATTTAGCTTTTAATGATCTTTATAATAGATTAGATACTAAGGATGGTGAAAAATATATGTATAAACTAGCCAAACAAAGAGAAATTAAAAATAAAGATTTAACTCAAGTAAAGTGTATTAAAGATTAAAATCAAAAAGTGATTTTCCTAGAAAAATATATTCAACATAGG